GCGTTCCTTGCCAGGGCTGCTGGGAGTTGTAGTCCTCTATTGGCACGTTCCTTGCCAGGGCTGCTGGGAGTTGTAGTTGAAATACTTTCCTCATGGAAAAAGAAGAACAGGAGTACTTGTGGCACCTTAGAGACTACAGCCCACTTCTTCGGATGCATATAGAAGAAGTGGGCTGTAGCCCACGAAAGCTTATGCTCTAATAAATTTGTTAGTCTCTAAGGTGCCACAAGTACTCCTGTTCTTTTTGCGGATACAGACTAACACGGCTGCTACTCTGAAACCTTTCCTCATGGAACAAGCAACAGAGAGGCCTGTGGCACCTTTAAGACTAACAGATGTATTGGAGCATAAGCTTTCATGGGTGAATACCCACTTCGTCAGACGCATGCCAGATCCAGACTAACACGGCTACCCCTCTGATACTTTCCTCGTGGATTGTATTTTAAATGGATACCCTACCATCAATTCTCAGTTACTGAGGGACCGTCTCCACTCATTGCTACATTTGCTTTCCACAACCAACTCTCTGTATAACTTTTCATGAGTGACGTAGCCAAATACTTGGAGGCTAATATATAAACTGTATTCTTAAAATGTATTCACCTAAATTTGGGTGATTGCTGATTAGGCACTATATGCAGCTTATGATTTTAAAAACAAACTTTGTATTTGTGGATAATCTAAGCACTATACCCTGATATACAGACACTCTTTTCTTAACCTGTCTGCTATATAATTTTTTAACATTAGTTTTAATAAAATATTTACCGAGAGCTGCAAAGGGTGTTTGGAGTTGTAGTATTTCCAGGATCTGATGCAAGGGCTGCTGGGGGATGTAGTCCTCTCACACCCTTCTCTGTTTAGTTTCCCCTCACCCACTGGCTCAGCTGGTTAAGCCACCATCAGTTTCATAGCCAACAGCACAGGAGAGGGTGATGTGGTCAGCATCCCGTCCGTCCCTCTTTGGCTGCCCAAACCCAATGGATCGGGTAACCGATTCGCAGCGGGGTAAACTGAGGTGGCCTTTCAGTGTGAGATTGTTAAATTCACGACCTTCAGGAGCATAGTCAAGTGCCTCAACCACTCAGTCACTCCACCTCATGCGCAATGCACCATCTTGGCAATAGGGAGGGTGGCCACTCACACATTCCAGTATCTTCGGGAACAGCCTGGGCCTCACCCCACCTTGTTGTTGTGATCTCACACGCATGGTGTGATGAGGGCATGCCACATAGATGGGGTGCCCTTTTGAAGACAGCCCTGCCCCATCCCTGCTGGAATGACCTGGCACGGATGGCATGCACAAGGTCACACCGGTGCATCCGAAGACGTGGGCTGTAGTCCACGAAAGCTTATGCTATAATAAATTTGTTAGTCTCTAAGGTGCCACAAGTACTCCTGTTCTTCTTTTTGCGGATACAGACTAACACGGCTGCTACTCTGAAAGCTCTTCATTATGACGTCCCCCATTTGACACCGGACAAAACCACAACCGGTTTTGGCTGAGTATCAGACGGGACAAACAGCAGAACAGCAGAACTGTTCAGTTTCAAACCGGACAAATGGCCTGTCTACCGATAGGCCTCACCTCTGTTTCATTGAGACCAGCTCCAGGGCCAGGGCTGAATCATTACTCCGCATGGACCATTTAGTGGCAGCTTATAATGAGGACCAGTTAGTGGAGGCGTATTTTTAGCAACGGGAGCACCTGTCCATCACACTTAGTACCCACCAAATACTCATTTCACACAAGCCGCAAACAGCCATCAGATAGCAGGGATGTCCATTTACAAGCTTGGCCAGTTTTGACCAGTGACCCAACAGGGAAGGGCTCTGTCTCCCAGACCCCTGAGTCATCCCATCCCCTATTTGGGCAGCTGTGCCTATGAGAATTCATGGAGGTTATACACAGTGAAACCCGTGAAAGAAAACACTCAGTAAACTGCCACCTGTCTAAAGAGTATTTCCAAAACACACAAAGGATCATTCTGCCCCCCTCTCCCCAAACTACTGATCAGATAGCGACGGGTACTAAATACAAAACCCTGAGACAGACAGAGATTTAACAGGCCAATTTTATTTAAACAGCTGGTTTTTGTCAATCCCTTGAGTAGTCACTCAAATCAGATTTTGCTGTCGTTTCTTTGCGGGGATCCCAGCTGCTAATGTAATCTGGTTAAAAAAACAAAACAGATCACCAATTACGAATTCTTAGCCTAGAGGCCCAGAGAGAGTCAGGAGTGTCTTTTCCACTGGCCTAAGCTGAGTTAGCTGGATGCTAAGTGTTTCTGAAGATAGCCCCTAGAGGCCGCAATTTTCAGATGGGCTCAGCTCTCATTGTGGCACCAAAATAAGTGATCACATTTTCAAAAGCAAGTTGAGTACCAAACTCTTTTAAAAAACCCCCCATAGACATCACAGGGGGAGCCTGGAGGTGGGAGTGGAGGGGGTTGAAAACCCTGCCCCTCCTGAGGGTGCTGGAAAATCTGCCCAGGAAAAATTCCCCCCGCCCTCCGCCCCCCGGGTGACTTG